CGCCATATTCACAATAATATGCATATCCTTTTTGTTACCTTCTAAATCCTGTGAAACAACTATTTCCAGGAAAATCGGAGGTATGAAGACCAAGTTTGTGTGGCCTTTTGTATGGTAGTTGTTTCCTTTCGTTGCACATTAGTTGCTTGACCTTGCTTTTGCCATTTGGTCACATTGGCAGGAAGATCTAGCGGAACGTGCCTTGTCCGTAGTCCATAGTATGCATAATAAATTCCAGAGTTAGACCGTGGACTTGGTACATTCCCAGACTTTCCGCCGGCATCTTAGTCGGCATCGTCAGTTAACCTTGCCATTGTTAGCATCACACTACAACTCGACCAAGTGTAGTGCTGACAATGGCAAGGTTAACTGACGATTCCGACTACGATACATGGGAATGTACAAAGTCTGCGGTCTAACTCTGGAATTTATCATGCATACTATGGACTCTGGACAAGGTGTGTTGCTCTAGGTCTTACTGTTAAAATGACCAAGTTGTGAAAACAAGGCCAAACAACAACAACTAGTACTACTTTTTTGTAGTTGAGTAGAGTTTCGAGACTACCAGTAAATCAGCAATATGAGATGTATTCACCCTATTTGGTTTAAGGTGATGAAAGACTGGTACTAGAATTTTCCCACAATTAGATGAGTATAGCCTACGCTTCCATTGAATTGCACATAGCCTTACTTTCCAAAAAGGTATTCTCCTCCAAGATGGACTGCAGTTCCGACCTCGCCTAGGTGTTATCAACATCCCCGTCGAAACTCGAACCATGACAGTGAAGCGTATAATCTCAACCATTAACTAATACGTCACATTGCCACAAGTACCATTAGGTCACAGGGCAGATGTAACTTTCAAGGAAAGCCAGGCAGTTTCCCAACTAACATCCTCTGGTGGGTTTGTCGATGAAGCAAAGTTGTATTCTCTCGAAAACCTACTTATAAACGAAAAATAAAGTAATCAGTATTGAGTATCAAAGAAGTGATGAGGCCCTCATACGGGTATTTCTTACTACGCGAGAACAAGTAATAAAGGGACAAATCTTGTTTTGCAGTCTTGCTTAAATATATATATATATATATATAAACGAGACCATACGCATGAGATAGGTATTGCTCCGATGGATTTATATTAGTTAACAAAAACTGACTACAGTAAAACAAGAAAAAGGATCTAAAAACAAGACTATCCAAATCTGTCTACATATTCACAGGATGGCTTGGAAAAACTGTGTTATATATATATATATATATGTCCATGCAGAATGATATGTTTTAGTATGGTGGAAAGAATACAGGTTGATGTAAATGCACTTGGCAAACAAGCGTATTTCAGAAAATGTCTTTGATTGCGTAGTTGTAGCTATTAAAAATTACTTTTTCGTTTGATCAACAATGCAGTTGGTCAACAGTTATCGTGGGCATTTGCTCAATAAGTACGATAAACACAGTAGTGATCAGAATAGCTCCTAAGTATGAACAAATTGACACATGAGCGTTTGTGAATCCACGACAAGAGTGCTTAATTTGTACAGATAAAGGTCCGTCTGAGTGTTTTTGTGGAGCAGGAGTGCTTTGATGGAGTTTCGTTGCCGTGGCAAGAGGCAATTATCTGATTCACTTCCCAGCTCTCAGACCAAATAAACTTGTGCCCAAATGAGCAACCGCTGGGGGTGTAAAGACTGCTCTGTCTCCTTCATCTATAAAATCAGGTAGTTGCTGAAGTGCTCATCACATCCTCATTAAGCATGACTCCGTACAGCCTCCGTAAGTGGAGAAAGAGAGAGAAGCAAGTGGTGGGCGGATAGGAAGCATATGCAAATCAGGTTATTAGGGCGAGGGAAGTGGAGAATGTATGGAAACTTGAGGGCAAATGCACTGTGGGGATAGACCAAACAGGTCGTAAAATATGGAAGGCCTCTTCCAAGACGAGTACAGCTGTTCCTGAATCGTTTGGCGGACCCTCGTAGGAGGGTCCTTTGAGAGTTCCGGTCCCTGAAACCGGATTGTTGCAGGAGGTTCGTCATGCCCACGTGCTGATGATACTATTCCTGACTGGGATGATGATGAAGTTGATGAAGAGGCCGCCGCTTCAACGCCCTCATTTGGGGACTCTTCATGAATGGTACCCTCATGCAAACTGGGCAAGTTTGCTACCAGCAAAGGGCCCATCCCCTCTGTTGCCGGGTTCTCAAATTGTCCAGCGGTAGGCCAATGAGCAAGGCAGGAAGCCGATGAAGCACTGTCGGTCATGGCAGGGTTAAGTTGACCAACCACATGCTCATCCCTGTGGGGAGTCTGGTCTAATGCAGCTGAAAACGGGATGCATTTTGTGGAGTAAGATTCCATTTGTCTTGACTCGTCTCGCGACCTCATAGACAAGGTGACCCTCGTAGGGTCAAGGGTGATCGGCTCACAGACACCGGGACCCAAAGTCAGGTCTGTAAATGTGCCAGCGAGAGTACCAGATGCCGCTAATCGACCTGAATCGGCCGGTGGCGTTAGAGCCGACAAAGCGAGTTGAAGTGAGCCTGATCCGAACGGAATAAAACAGTCAGTTGGTTCATGCGAGCTGATGACCCGTGAAGTTGGAGGCTCATCGGCCTGTTTGGTGAAGCTAGAAGCTCTTTCGATTGGCCAAAATGTAGCACCCACGGAGCAGTAACAGTCCTCCTCCACGACTTCAGAGTAAAACTGGCAATCGCCCTGTTGATTGGGACATTCTTTCGGCCTTTGCGCCGTATTGTCTCCGGCTGAACAAGTCATATTTTCTGGCGGACGAAAAGCTTTAGTGGCCCGTTCCGGCCAAGGACTGGCAATCAGCTCGTCTATACTGAAGGCCTTCTGTTTTACCTCGGCCAATTTGGGCGTAGGCGATCGCAAGGGCAAAGGGAAGTTGCGAGCAAAACTGAAGCATAACTCGGGGCTCTTGCCTCCCTGCGAGAATTCAGCCGATGTCTCTGGCTCATGCCTCTTCTCCTTCCTCCGTTCCAGCGGTTGCTGCTTGCCCTCGCCTTCCTGCTTTTCATTTTTTCTAGATTCGCCGGTTTCATCTTCCCTTACTAAAATTAGGCCTCCCGCCTTATTATCTTCTTCCGGAAATATTCCTCTCCTTCTCCGCTTTTCAGTCGTCTCCTTTTCTTCCTCCATTTTATTCTTCTTCACTTTATTCTCGTCTCTGTTTATCACTTGTATGCCTCTCTTCTCATTGGCTTCGATAAACAGCTCCTGGTCATCCTTCGTTGCTACTCTTGACCTCAACCTGTCCTCTTTATTTTCTTTCTGCTGGTCAGATTCTCCATTGTTGACATCAAAATCTTGCGGCTTTCTCGAAAGAGCAGCTTCAATTTTTCTCCGTCTTAACAGCTTCCTTTCGAGGTCCACTGTTGCTTTTCGGTGCTGCTTTCCTTGAAAATCAGGCTCCAATATTCTATCGGTGTCGGCTTTAGCCAGCAACTTTTCATCACATTCGCCGACATCAATTTCTCGCCACACTCCTGACGACCTGATTGAGGCTGGCAGTTCGAGGCCTAGGCTGTTGAGCGAAGACTGACTGAGCTTAGGGAGGAGCCCTGGAACAAGCAATTGCGGGAGTAGATGCAGCATCAGAAGGTCTTCTCGGTCTCGGTCTGGATCGTGCTTTTGCCCTCGAAATGCCTCCGCTTCCCCTTCAGTCATTCGCGCTGCTGGCCAGGCCAGACAGCTCTGGCTTGACCTCAGCGGTTCGAGGAGGCCCGACTCAAATCGGACGGGCAAACTCGACCAGTTTGTCAGTGAAGCCGCGGCTGCTGCGGTCAACATTTCGTTGCTAAGACAGGGCAAAAGGTTGTTCATGAGGTAGTCTGAAGTCTTGTCGGATAGGCGAGTTTCCATACCACCTTGTGATCCGGGCTCACTGGTTGTGTTGGCAACATTCTGTAGCGCAAGACTGCTGGGAGGGAAAAATGGCGGAATCGCCATCTGAGCAGGAGTCACCTCGACGCCCGGTTGCGCTGCCATTCCGAGCATCGAACAAGAGGCTGGAAAGGCCGTTCTTGACATGACTGTATCGGAGTTTGTCGTCTGACCAACCAAGCCAAAATCTGATCCCGGATCAGGGCCGCAACTGCTGCGCGAACTGGAACCGGCCCTTGCCGGCGAGACGGTTGAATAGATGGGGCTGTCGGCCGTCTGGCGCCACCGATCAGCCAAATTGACGGCGTTGGACATCTGATCAGGCCCAGTGGGAGCGATGGAAGCATCGCAACCGGTCGACTCACCCGATGCAGCAGTTGCTTCGTCAGCTGGAACAAAAGACATGTCATTCGCGAGCACCGTAGGGCTAGTTGTGCTAGTGTTGGACACACTCGTTTGAAGTGTGTTTTCCCGACCACACAAGCCTGGTGTGGGCAGAATGACATTGATTAGACTGGCCATGTCGTCGGTGGGCGACGCACTGTTGGAAGAATAGGAGGACACTTCGCTTAGACCAAAATGTCCCTCGGCTGTACCGGCGACTATGAAACTGCCCACTTCGCTGGCCGAGCCCGTGAGGTCGGAGTCGAAACAGTGCTTGCCTGAAGGGGAGGAAGAGGGCAGAGCTCGCTTGTAGCGCTTTCGTCGACGCAGATAGCTGCCATTGTCGAACATATCTTCGGAGTTTGGATCTAGGATCCAGTAGTTCCCCTTGCCCGGGTTGCCAGGCTCCCGAGGGATCTTGATGAAGCAGTCATTCAACGAGAGGTTGTGTCGAATTGAATTCTGCCAGGCAGGAAATCGTTCGCGGTAGTAGGGAAACTGTGCCATAATGAAGTCGCAGATGCCGGCCAGCGTCAGTCGCTTGTGGGGCGCCTGAAGAATTGCCATGGTGATTAGTGCAATGTAGGAATAGGGTGGCTTTACAGATGGCCCATTGACTCGGCCGGAGCGGCCACGATTGCTCAAGCCTGTTGTCGAGCCAGCTTGTATCACGGCCGGGGAGTCCATTGTCGGCGAACAGGTCAGGCGACCTTTCGGCTCGGCTTGGTCTTTTCCCGCCTCGAAAGGAGGCATTTTCGGTACCTCGGCCGCCTGCAGTCGGAGCCATTCTTCCTGACTCAGCACCGCGGAGGCATCGAGACGCCGGCGCGCCGCCTCCTGAAGATGGCTGGCCAACTGCAACTGAAACCGGTTGATGCAAATATCGGATACGCTCAGATTTGCCATCGGCAAAAACATCAATTGCTGGTCGGCCAGGTCACCGTCGCCGTCAACCTCACCAGAAGCATCCATGGCAAGTGGGCCCTCGTTGCGAGGCTGGTCGAAAGTGGCCTTGTCGTCGAGCCTGTCGGCTGGAGTGGAAGGCCTGTCGAGTCTGTAGGCCTCGACTCTTGCTGTTGTCGTCAACTGGCCGTCGAGGGGAGGCAGAGTGAGGACAAGTTCATCGTTAGTATCCGTGATGGATGATCCGATCAGGGAAGAGGGCGAGGCGGTTCGAGTGCGCCCGCTCTGCCATGCATGGGGCAGAAACGAAGCAATATTGGCCGGATAGGCCAAATGAGGCATCTGCAAGGAAGCCGACTGCATCGGACAGCCGGACAGTACCGGTGGCTGAGGCAGGGCGAAAGCGAAATTGAGGGGACCAGACGCGCCGGAGGTGAGGAAAGAGGTGAGGGGATTTGCGGGCAACGACAATGTGTTGATATCGGAGAAGGTGGTTGCTAGGGCGCTGGTCTGATGGCTGCAGGACTGGCCAGTAGACGGGCCCGTGTGCAGTGGAAAAGTGATCGGATTGTCTCTGGTCGCGGCGTCATCTGTTGGGAACAGGCCAGAGATCAAGGCCTCATTCAAGGGCGGTCCCGATCGTTTAGCATTCTTGTCCGATATCAGCATTGCATGGTTCTGGCTGCCAGTGGGCCCGTCGTCCAAGTCCCCGTCCAGCGTCGCGACTCCGGGAGGCCAGGCGAACGACTCGAGATGGCGTCGAGCAAGCGCCACCATGTTGGGGTCGCGCAAACAGATCGAGAGCAGTTGCAGTTGACTGTCATTCATGCTGTCCCCCATCGAGACAATAGGCTACT